AAATTTATAGGTCACGGATCACAAATATTATAGGTCACAACTTATTAGATAGTCACAAATTATTAATTTTTTAGGTCACAATATTTCTTAATCACAATTTATCTTTTTCATTTGTCTCATATTTTTTTTATCAATCATTGATTAACCAATTCACTAATCACAATCAACCAAATAATCTGTGACCATCACCATCACTTCAACGATGCCTCCAACAACACCACCATCACCATCGCTGCCAAAACCACCTCCACATTGGTCACAAATTAACCAATTTATTGATCACAACTTTTAGTCAACCAATAAAATCGCCATGTACACCCATACCCCATCCCACCACTCAAAGCACTACACCAAACTCGACATCATCGCTTCACCACTACAAAAAAATCCCCAAACTCGACTCGTTGCGTCACCACCACCACCACCACTCCCTGTTTCAACAATCACCAAAACAACCACCTTAAATCGACCATTTCCTTCACCTCTACCAAAAATCAATAAACACCACCAACATCATCACCACCTTAGAGCACTACAAACACCAACACCACTATAGCCACCACCACAACTGCACACAACCAATGAATCAACGTCTATTGTCACATTACGGCAACATTGTATCAAAATTGAATCATGAATTTATTGCGACCGTAGAGCGACGCTCTATCACCATTGACAAATAAAGAATGGAAGAGAGAGAGAGAGAGAGAGAGCGAGAGAGAGCAAAGCCTTCGCCACCAAATAAAGCCACCAACACCACAACAGAGTCGTCACCGCCACCACCAGACCCAACGCACAATAAAACACCACCATAATAACTGCAAAATCACCACCTGCACTGCACAGTACACCACTGCAACGATCGACCATCAGAAACCACACCAAACCTCCGCCATCGACCACCAGAAATCACAACCCCACTACACAACCCACTACCACCACATCACACCATCGCCAATGCGACAACAACTATCGTGATTCTCCTCTGCCTCTGCCTCTGCCTCTGCCTCTGCTTCACACCAGCACCATCACATCACCCCTTCTCTTCCCTACTCGATCTGCAGCATTGACGTCGATTCGTGGGAGTGATCTAAAAGCTATGCTCTTGGTGGTCGATTTATGGCAAAGGGCCAAGAGAGAGGACTGTAGATAGATGGGGTTGGGTTAGGTTAGGTGAATTATGGTATATAAATTAATTTAATTTTATAATGTTATTAATCAATTAAAATGTATATTTATCATCTAATTTTTGCATAAGCAAACTTTAAACTTGGTTTTTGAAATTGGATCTTCAAATATATGGTTTGGTGTAATTTTCCACAAAAATTTATTCAAAAAAATAAATAAATACATAAAGTAGTAATTGTTAAACTAATAAGTCAATTAGGTTAAGGGTAGTTTAGTCTTATTATATTTCCTTAGTTTTGCACTATACGTACTATTGTAATCTTACATTATGCAACCAAGTTTGGGGGCTGCTATCAATCGATTTTCTCTCTTTCTCCTCCATTCTTCATCTTTGGTTTGTTGTTTTTTCACATGGTATCAGAGCGGGTTCAAATTTGGGTTAAACTTGCCAAGTTCAGTTCTCCGACGAGTGGCCTTGTGCCGCTCGTCCGGTCAAATTTTCCTTTTATTTATTTATTTTTTTTGTTTTACTTCCTCAAACCATCCAATTACATGGCATCACGAGAAACAAGGGTATCCATGATACTTTGTACCAATTTTGTTTACAATTTTGAGAGAGAATATATTCCCCGATTGAATTACAGAAAAAAATGCATTCAAATTTAATTCTTGTTGATAATATGAGGGGTGTATTTGAGTTTTTGCTGGATTTTATCAAGGACAGTGTCAGAGTTAGGGCTTCTTGTAATGGATTATTATGTTGTTCTAGCATTCCTAATAAAGGTGTTTATTAGGTTTGTAATCCAATGACTAGACAGTATAAGTTGCTTCCGAGAAGTAGGAAAAGGCCAATTACTAGGTTTTATCTCGATGGTGAAGCTACTCTTGTTGGTTTGGCTTGCAATTTGTTGACAGGGAAGTATAATGTTGTGTTGGCAGGACATCATAGGTCGGCCTGAGAGGACTTTTATATGTATGATCTTTGATTCGGAATCTAATAAATGGAGGAAATCTGTTTCGTTGTAAGATGATCATTTAACACACATGAATAGAAATCAAGTTGTGTTCATTAATGGTGCGTTGCATTGGTTGACTGCGAGCTGTTCTTGTGCGCTTGTTCTGAATTTGAATTTGGATTCTGATATTTGGAGGAAAATCTCATTGCCAGATGAAGTGAATTCTGGGAGTGGGAGTCGGATTTATTTGTTGGAGTCGGATGGGTGATTGTATGTGATTCAAATTTCAGAGGTCTGGATGAATATTTTTATGATGGAAGATTATGACAAGGAAGAATGGCATATGGTGGATAGGGTGAGTCTACGATGTATTAGAGGGATGGTGCCTGGCATTAGAGCGATGGTGCCTTGCATTTTTCCAATTAGTAAGACTGGTGAATATGTTTTCCTTGCAACCCACAAGCAAGTGTTGGTGTATCAGAGAAATAGCAGAGTTTGGAAGGAGATTGTAGCAGTGGATACAAAGTGAGGCAGTGGCTTGGATTTAGGGTTTATAGGGGATGGTTTATTGATGTGACGGTGGCGGCCTTGATGTCGGCGTATGGGTTTTGGTTGGTTTGTTGGCGTCAAAACAATTTATGTAAGTGGATGGCTTATTGGGTTGTTGTAAGATAGATAGACTGGGTAATGGGTTAGGTCCAAATTTAGACATAAAATATATGAGTTTGGCTATTGGATTAGGCCAGTTGATATTACTTGGGCTAGTTAGTTATGGGTTGTTTGTTTGTTGGGCCGAAATTTATGCGTTTGTGGTTTAGTGGATTGGTTAATTGAGCCTGCTGGGGTGGTTATTGGGCTAATGAGCCACTAATTTAATTGGGTATTTTGGTATATGGCATATGGGCTGCTTCATTAAGAATTTTGAAAACATAATGAATGGGCTGAATTTTGGGTTAAATTTGTTTGATCAGGAATTTGGTTTCTGTGATTGGTTTGGGTTGTTTTTGGCGTATTAGACAGCTTATTGGGTTGTTAATTAATGTTGGACCTAGTTTGGATTGGAAATTTGTTTTGGTGTTGATCCAGTGTATTTGGAATTTGGCATCTGTCGAGCTTGAATTTGAAATTTGTGCCTAGTTTGTGGGATTTTAAATTTCATTTGATGCCCGGTTCACGGAATTTGGAAATTTCGTTTGTTTGCCCAGTTTATGGGATTAGAAATTTCGTTTGTCCAGTCTATCTGGAGTTTGGAATTTGGCATAGTCAAATCTTGGAATTGATATGTCAAGTTCATTTGGAATTTGAAATTTGCATCCATTTGGTTTAGTTGAGATTGTGTGGTTTCGTTGGTCATCTGTAGTTCGGCATCATTTCCCTACCTTTCATTGCTCTCCGTCGTTGCAGCTTGTAGACTTTCCTACAAAGTCAAATTCGATTTATCATTTACGCTTTTTGTTGGTCAAACTCTCATTGCTCCTTGTCGTAGCATCGTGAGTTTGAGGGGGGATGTTAAAGTAATAAGTTAATTAGGTTAAGGGTAGTTTAGTCTTATTATGTTTCCTTAATTTTGCAGTATATAAACAATTGTAATCTTACATTATGTAACCAAGTTTGGGGGCTGCTATCAATCGGTTTTCTCTCTTTCTCCTCCATTCTTCATCTTTGGTTTGTTGTTTTTTAACAGTAATAAATATCTGAGTAAATCGGTTTGCTTGAAAAGGAGGATAGCATTGAATGCCAACGGCTCAACTCAACTGTAGCTCCAAGTTGATCTTAGTTAGTTAGCATTTGCTGTCTCAAATCTTGAGTTATCACTTTTAATTAAAAATAAAAAATGCGTAGCTGGTCGCTAATCCCTTTTTCATTGATCGATCCTTGGTCTAGTACCTTTCAATGATCACGAAAGTGAATCACTTATCATTAATTTCATGTAATCAAGTCACCCAACTTTGATTTGCGGGCAACCATGGTCTCTCCATCTATCACTGTCAATCTTACTAATGTGATATATTGGTGCTTTCTCTTTCTTGAAGTTGTTTAATGAACCAAAAATGTTCGGTCTTGCTGGGATTGATTTCCTAATTCCTACTCTAAGGGACCAATTTGTTCTGTTTGATTCGACAATGACGTATAAGTTCAAGGCCCGATATACTATTCGGTCTATGATTTGAGTGTCCAATATGGTCTGGTCAATCCGATGTCACGTGAAGAGAGCCTATACTATACATGATTACATTCTTCTAAAGTGTGTTTGTATATAAAGTAGTCATTGCTTTCATAAACTTCCTTTGTGAGACAAACTTAAATATAGACTATAAAACTCATCTTTCATTGTTTCACTTTAAACTTCAATTTCTCATTCATCTGTTTATTATTTTTGGCAAATAAATATATAATTTTGATGTTCTCACGAAAAAAAACACAGATCAACTTGATCTTCCAAATAGAACCAATTGGTTCCACCTAAAATTGTGCCTAAACAACAAAGCCATTCTTCCAACATAAAATTAGAGGTTACTGACCTGGTTGCACGTATGTTGAAAGTTCTGTGACCGCTGATGCATTTATCCCCAAGGAGGCTAAGTCTCATTTTTGGTTATTCATCAAACAAAAATTAGAAAACTACAAAGGGGTTTCATCCATTTAGAGCTTTTTATTAATGTAGGATAATCTCTGTTGAATAGAATCGACCCAATATTATTAAGATCGATAACACTTTTTGTATCCGACATCAAAAATAATTCCACAATAAGATATGATGCTATATGTAAAATTTACTCATCTCTTAACCAAAAATTGAAAAAATTACCTATACAAAACATTAAATAAATATAAAGATTATAGCTGAGATTCTGAATTCTTGGAGAACGAGTCCCTCTCCGGGACGGCCTCCGCCGTATTCCGGTCGATGAATATTCATTTACGAGAAAAACCACTAGCCAGTTCATTGGCGGTAGGATTGAATGACAGTCGCCCCAGAATGCCCTGCTTGTATGGCAAGAATGTCTTCTTCTTCAAATCTTCTGAAACCGCACGATTTGCTGTATAATGTAATTCATGAGCTGAAACTTTCCCCTTTCTTCTTGGGTTTGATCCAGAATCCTTAAAACTCGAATTCCTTGCATCATCGAATGATCTTCTGAACCCTGCTGTGTATTTCCTTAATGGATATTTATCTGCTGCTCGTCCTTCGGATGCACTTCGGAACAAGAAAAAATCCTTCAACCTCCATTTTCTTTGAGTTTTTGAGGACGAAGATGAGGAAAAATTCTTTGTATTCTGCTGTTTTTTCTCCTCTTGATCCCATGGAATTTGATCAGAAACTCTTAGAGGAGAAAGTGAACGGGTTGCTCTTCGGCTTGATGAAGATAAACCTCCTGCAGGAGCTCTATCTCTTCCTCTTCGGTGCTCTTCCGCCGTAGGAGCGGCGGCAATTGCAAAAGGGACTGCCTCTTTCTTATGCCCTTGAGAGAAATCACCCTTAATTCTTGCTCCAGCGGGATGTTGCAGCCGCGGTGGCGGCTTGAAGGACTTAATTACGCCACTATCAAAGAGTTCCTCCGCCGAAAGAGACGCAGTCTCCGATGCTTCCTCACCAATATCAAAAGCAAAGTCATCTTCATTTTTAGCAGAACCGGGCTTTGTCCTTGTTTCCTGAACAAAGGGCACCTCCGACGAATCTCCGCCGCCGCTGAACAAGAAATTATTAAAATCACGATATAACTGAGCCAAATGCGTCGGACTTGTTGGAGCACTGCAATAGAATTCCCCAATACGCTTGGGTGTAGAAGGTGAACTAACATTTGGACTGTTAAAATCAAAATCCATGCTGTTCGCAGGGATCATAACTTCCATTTCCATCGAGTTTAGTTTCTATATAATCTAATGGTCAAAGGCAAAGAGACAGGTAGGGTTTGGGATTTATATAGAGAAGAGCAGAAAGAGACAGGATTTATCGTTGACTAATCATATCTGACATACCAGCAGCCATTTATGACACTTTTAGTTTTCTATTTATTTTTCAAATATTTGCACCAATAGTCCCGAAAACATAGGCGTAGTGGACTCCTAGTCCCCAACCTTCCAAAATAGATGCAAATGTGGTTCCTATATCAAACCTAACCTAACTCTTATTTTTAAATTTTTCTTGTTTTCACATTTAAATTTAATTTTCAAAATATTAAAAAATAAAGAAGCAAAATATGAAAATATTTTAATCTTCTGTCTCGCATTGTTGCTATCCCTAATCCTGTGTTAAGCTTTTAGCTGCTAACGTGGCAATGTGTTTTCACATGCTAACTTTTTAGCAAGCAAAGCAATCTTATCACAATAGTTAGCCCTTGTTTGAGGCCATTTTGGGGGTAAAAAAATGTATTTTGAATAGTAGATTAATAAAGAATATGTGGTTAAAATTTAAAAAAAAAAATTTGATTTGTATATAATATTATTTTATTGAAAAATGTATTATTAAAAATGAGTTTTAAAAAATAATTTTTTAAGATAATAGGGCTCAAACAAGGTTTTAATATCAAACAAACGATATCCATCTCTTAGAACTGGGTTTTGTACTTATTTTGTTAGGTTGAAATTATTTTGCTCTTTTTAAAGTTTGGATCAATTTGTTACTATTCCTATACATTTGGGACAATTGGTCAATTTCCTGATTTTCTTTTTCTAAACCTTGACATGATTGGGGTTAATTTTACAAACAGACACATGTTTGACCCACAAGTTTGTGAATTTTCCTTGAAGTACAAGACACATATGCATGCGTAATTCATTTCATCATGTTGATTAACAAAATACTTTTCTTTGCATAAAAAATTTGTTGGATAATTCTTGAATATATGATTCTTATTAGAATAGATAAGATTAAACGGAAAATAATATACCTTACGAGTGTGATTGCTTATATTGTTGAGACGTATTTTCTATTGACTTTAATATATTTTGGAGTATAATAGTGGTTCAACCTTAAAGGAATATATTAGACGAGCAAGAGACCCTTGAATATGTAGCTCGAAGTTATCGATGATATAGATGCTTTCAATTTTTCAATAAATATAGTATTGAACAAAATGGAAAGCAAGCGATGAGGCATGTATATAATAAATCACAATTTATAAGGACTAAAATATAGTTTAATTAATATGTAAATGATAAATCTAAACATTGAATTAGTTTATTTTATGAATTATGTCATTTGTACTTCACTTTCTTTACATCATGACTGACATCGTCCATGTTGTCAAGAATTAATTGGATGAAAAAATGATTTTATTTTTAAATTGTCCAATGATATAATAACATATGAAAAAGTGTAAAAGATAGTATAAAAATATTGAATAATGCCCTGAGTACAAGACACTATTCATACAGGGTATCGTACGGGTCTCGTCCCTTGTGTCTGTCTTGGTAGAGGCTTGTGAGTCTCTACCCTGTATGTGAGGCATGGTTCCAAAATATTATATACATCAAGCAATGTTGTTATTTTATTGCTACATGGTGAAATCGAGGAAAACGTGCTTCGATTTGCTTGGTTTTTCAGTTCAAAGGAAAAAATTATTATAAGACAAAGAAAGAGTTACCGAAAGCTTGGTAAACAAGACCGATTCGAGGTATTAATTTTGCATACGTAATCAAAGATTCAAATGATTAATTAAAGATCATTATGTTGAAGTTAGGTAAGAAACCAATTAATTACTTTTGCAATTATAATGACACATTTATTGTTTGTTTTCAATTGAAAAAGTAAATTTGTGGCAAGATTTTCAAATTTGATCTAGTAACGGTAGGGTGGCAAATTCCTGGATACACACTATTTCTCGATTCGAAATATTTTTTTCAACAAACTAAATGCACTATTAAATAAATTTTAAGTCTTCCAATTTGTAAGTCGATGATATCTGTGTAGTAGTAAATAAGAAAAATAAATAAATTGCGAGAAAGAAAGTATGACAATAACATAAATCTTCCACTATAACAATAATGATGAAATATCTCTTTATAGAGTTGAGATCTACTGTCCATTTTTGCTGTCTAACTTGCTATGCACCCAATTGCAAATTGACATATCATGAAAATTTAAAGTTGTCATCAACTTTAATTTTTCATGATATATCAAATTGTAATTGGGTGGACGGTAAATTGAACAGCGTAAATGAACGACATATATCAATTCCTCTTTTTACAACACTAGATGCTTAAACCCTTCTTTGAGTCTCCTTCATTTTTATTTATTTTTTTAATTTTTTTTTAGAGAAATGTGTTTTGAAATAATGACTTTTATTGAAAAATGTGATTAAAAAATAGAGAATTTTGAATTTACGTGTAAAATTATTTTATGAAAGAATGTGTGATTGAAAATAAGTTCTAAAAAAAGTTCCCTTCCTCCTCCCTATTTTTCTATGTAGAATTGAATGATGAATTAATGACAGGTCTAGAGATTTTTTTGTTCGAATTTAAAACCAATATTTGTGATTGATCTTGTCATAGAGATGGCTTAGCTATGAAATAAGAAAAAACAAAAAGCACGTTCTCAACAATAACGGCAGTATGCGATGGAACTTGTTGCAGACAATTGTGCCACAAAGTCTCACTAATGTTATAAAACTAAGAGAAAAAGAAAGATCAATTGAAGAAAAGTATTATAGTCAAAAATCGAGTGTGTGATTTTCTTTAGAGTAATACTATTTAATATCACTAGTATTAGAATATGACTAAAGGTACAATTAAATAAATCTTTTAATTCTACCTTTCATTAGTCTTATTACACAATACCACATAGATTAGAGTTGTAACATCAGGGGTACCAAATATCACTATTTTTTTCTTTATCACGATGAATCCATATTTATAGGATTCCAATGAGAATTACAATCTGAAAAGAATATATATATAATTTTATAACGCTCTCTCTGATAACTATTTGCACAGCAACTACCTTATTAAAAATCTTGTTTGATTAAAATTCAGTGGCAAAAAATATTTTTAAAAAATGGACAGTTAATTGTTAAAATTTTGAAGTCTTAAGAAAATATTGTCTCATTAAAAGCTTATCAGAAAAATTCAATGGGATGTAATCTGCACTAAGGAAAAAGAGTACATTACTTCCTTAACGTTAATCTCTGAATATCTTAAAGTCAATGAATTCCAATCTCAACTACCAATTTCTTATATGTAAATGTCAACCGCACTTTATGAAAAGACAATTATATTGCTACTTAAGGGAATTTGTTGAATATCAATGTTATCGATTTTTTGAAACTCACATTTAGAGAAGAATTTTGAAGCAAAATGCTTTGTTATGTCCCATTTGATATAATCTCACTTGAGTTGTGCAATATAAATTGCATTATTTTCATATAATATTGTTGGACTATCTTTGTTGAAATCATTAGAAACTATTTTTGGAAAAAACCACGAGTACATGGAATTTTTGACAAAATTCTTATAGACGTTGATGTGGTCGAAGATGATTGGACTATTTTTACTCTCTCCGAATCTTCCAATCAATTCCTTTCATGTATTGTCTGTGAAAGATTTTTGTCAAAATTTTCTGTATTTATAGCATGATTGACCATTTTTATACTATTTCATATTTCCTCTTATAGTAGACACATCTTTCCTCTTCTGCTTCAAAATGATCTTATCCTCTTTTCATGAAGGAGACAATTTTATGCCCTTCAACTATAATATCATGATGAATAATTTGTCATTCTTCAACTTAACTAATTATCGTCCTAATATCATCCATTTTAAAATCAAGAAATTTTCTTAGTACAAACATCTTTAGTAGCATATTTCGTTTCTAATGAATACCTTAATTCTTTAACATTTACAAGCCCAATAAACATAGTATAAATCTAACAATAAGCCATTTAAAATGTAACTTCTGGATATATAGTCCTTATGTTCTCAATCAACTATATTTTCAATTTTTTTTCCTCATTAGTAGGTTTATTAACATTATCATTTACTATCTTTTAAAATTCTTCTCATCAAACAATTCAGATTTTTCAAAATATTTACAAATTGAAGTATAACATGGCAGACATAGCAACTAACTAAATGATTTTACTTTAGATTGTTATAAAAATTAGTTGTAGAAACCTTTTCATAACAAAAAATGAAGAAATTTAGAATACTTATCGAAAGATCTAAAGTGAAATAGCATGTCGCTAATTGATGTGACCTCTATGAATTATTATTCTCAAGATACAATGAACGAACCACTTGTTCAGCAATAATAGGTGACTCCAAAACAATATATTAACAAAAACAAAAACAAAAAAAATTAAAAATTCAAGAATCGATTATGTATAAAGTGCAGGAAATGAAATGATTTCTATACTTTTCTCCAAGAAAAAGTTGTATATATAACTCATGAATTATAACTTCCACTAATAATTCTTAATTTAATGAAAAAACAGAGAATTCTATTATTCCATTAAATCACTCAATAAATACCTACAATAACTATATAGTATTGCTATTTATTAAAATAAATGATAAAAAATTATGTTAATCAAAACAGCCTAAAGCCCAAATACAAAGTATTAAATATTCGTGTGGATAGTAGGGTTTGAACTATCTCAACCTTTCACATAAGTTCCACATTTCGTATGATATTCAACCTAATTTAACTTGTTGCAATTGCTGACATAGAATTAGTTGGTGCTTGTTCTTCAAATACCGTCATTACTTCTCCGAAAAAAGAAGTCTACGACCCATGAACCTTTATCTCCACCCGACATTGCTCCATTAGGCTTTCGCTCATTGCAAAAAAATTTCCATGGTTGCTTCTCACAAGAGTCTAGGTCATATCTCAGTCCTAGTGTAGTTGATCATTTTCTCGAATTACCTATTGATCATGATCTCAAGAAGCTATTGCCTCACCAATTAGCTAATCGGACACAAGTCCTTCCTCAGACTAAATCCTTCATGCACTCTTCTGCATGAGGGGGTATTAGCAACCATTTCCACTCATTGTTCCCCTCTCAAGGGCATGTTCTTACTCATTACTCACCCATTTGCCACAGGAAACACTAATTCCACCCGACCTGTATGTGTTAAGCATGACGCTAGCATTCAAAGAAGATGCACTAACGATATCTAATTAATAAGCATCGATTAACTCTATGCTAGGTAAAACGATGATGCATGTGTTATTTGAAATGATTGGATGTAAAGTGTCTCTATAGGTGAATTTTAAATCCATCGTCAAATTCCAAGATAACTACCGACCTGTAATACTGTTTAGGAAGAGATAATTTACTATTGATAAGTGAAAACTGAAGAGATCCAATAGAACACCTATGACAAGAGCATAGTGTTGGGCTGACACTAACGCTCAGTTTGTTTTTACATTTTTCAATCTTGGGTAGCGATCCTTTTTATGGCGGGTTCTTCTAATGATCGGCATATCTAATATTCCTTTTTCCTGAACCGAATTCTTTCTAGTTAAAGAATCTCTAGAATAACTAGAGAATTGAAACTCTTACCGCAATCAATGCATTGGTCTTTATAGTGTTAATGTTTTTTGCTAGTTAGTTTCAATATCATAAAGTAGACACAAAATAGGCTTGATTTCAAGATGTAGAATCTATGTTTAATCACTATTTAGCGGGGCTACTAGGACTTTTGGCTCTCTCTTAATCGGGCACACTTCTCTCTAGGCCAACTCTTCTAGTTTGATTGCTTCTTTCAAATAAAATATATGCTAAATATATTCCCACATAAAATAGCTAAATAAATGTCCTGAAATACGAAAGAACATGCAAGTTTAGATGTCATTCGACTCAAATCATAACATTGTATATTTTATCGAGTATGCCAACTCTATAGTGAGCTGCCTTGAACTCTACAAATATAGCCCTCATTTGGTCCCTATTATTTTCAAAATACTTTTTTCTTTATCTAATTTTCAATCACACACTTTTCAATAAAATAATATTACACGCAAATCCAAAATTATTCATTATTTTTAACTATATTCTCCATCAAAATACTATTTCAACGTAATAGAACACACATAGCTTCTGAGATCATTATTGAGTTCTCACCATTGTTTTCATTCCGGTAAGGACTTTCCTAGTTTCTTCGAGTGATCTAGAAAATTAATCTAAAGGAAGCATCCCCCTTCCTCGCTCGAATAGGTGTTCTATCAAAAGTGCACAGTATCTAAATAGCCTCACTAAATAACACCTACCTTAGCTAATCCCAAGACCCAAAATCATACAATTGGTACTTCTACATCATAGGGATGGAAATATTCAATGTAATGTCCCCACATACCACTCTAATAATTTTGTAGTCCCATTGGGGTATGTGAGATCTTTAGACGTAAATTTGGATTACGGTTATAGATAATCCAATTTTAATACACTTTAACCTCATTCCTCAAGGTTTTCTGAACTAATTCTAGTTAAGCTTTTGGTCAATGGGTCACTAATATTCTCACTTGACTTTACATCATCAATAATCATGACCAAGTCCTTGAGTAACTGACTCATAGTGTTATCAAAATTTGTCCTTGCACACCCACAAAAATTTCACACATATTACCACACAATCAACTCTCTCAATTTAATTGTTTCTTTCAAATAAAATATATGACGTACGCAATAGGTTCATCATCATCCATTATGACAACCCGATCCAATTCTTTTTAATAATGCTATCTAGCACAAATGGTGCTAGAACACTAGTCTATGTAACCTTATATGATAAGCTCAATTAAAGACAATTATTTACTTCATTTAATTGTACTATTTATTCAATATACTTGAATATCATCTACACTTTGTGATGACTACGAACCTGACCAACTATTCGATGACTCAGATGAATTTCGAATGAAAAGAAACTAACCAAGTAACTTCATTATGCTTTGAAGCAAAGAGTACTAGGTCGAACAAATTGCATTTAACAGAAAGGGAATTATTAAAAATGTCACTTATTTTTTATAATACAAAAAAAATTTGCATGTGCACCTAATTTTATCAAAAATATCAATTTTTCTGTGAGAAATGTCCAATTTACCCTTCATTTTCATATTTCTAGCAATTGAAGATATTTGATTTAAAATTTTAAAAATCTGATTTTGAAAAGAATATAAATTTTGGGTCGAAATAAAATAAAATAAAATAAAAAGAGCGGTAAAGGTGGCGGCAATAAAATAAAAAAAGCAGTAGCCAACGACAAGGAGAGCGACAATGAGCACCGCGTTTGCCACAGAGGCAATGGCACTCACAACCGCTATCCAGAGTAGCGGCGCTCACCGCTACTTAATTGCAACAGCAGCCAAGCCGCCGCTACTGGACAGCGGAACAGTGGCAGCCTCCGCCACAAGCCTGTAAAAAGGAAAAAAAAATTGTTGTCCAGCAGATTTGGGTGATTGGCAAGCTGTTGTCCAGCATATTTGGGTGATTGGCAAGCTGTTGTCCAGCAGATTTGGGTGATTGGGCTGCTGCTGCACAACAGATTTGGGTGATTGGGCCGCAGCAATAGCCTAGCCGCCACCTCCGCCGCAGGCGCCAGCAAAGAGGGGGAAAAAATTGTTGTCCAGCAGGTTTGGGTGATTAGAGACGGGCCTATTGTGCAAATTCATAATTTGCAGGCCCCTGCTTGAAAATTAATATATAAGGTATTCAAATAATTCAGAAAATTTAAAAGGTAACATTTTTTATAATGAACAGCCAAATTTTGATACCCAATGAAATTTTCTCTTAACATAAATATGATATTTACATTCTACAGCAAGGAATATGCATTTACATTTCTGCAATACATCTTCCTAAGAGCGTCATTGCTAAGTATGTTCTTCACTCACCTCTTACAAAACTTAGCCAGATATACATGCTTATTCTGAATGGCAAACAGCAGGGAGATCCTTTTTTTCCCCCCTGCTGTTTATACCGTCTTTAACTCGAGTTTCTAGATGTTTGGAATCTCTGCGCCCATCTAACCTGAAAAATTAAGATCCTAATTAGCCTCTAGTGCCTAAAATAACAAAGAGTAAAGGCATATTTTGAAACTCGTCTATTAAGCTCAAGGCATTAACCCATTAAAGTGAGGAGATGCATTCATTTATTCGAATTTAGTCTACACGTCCCCTTGCATGCTAGCCGAATTTATTTTTAATCTAAAGCCTAACAGGTACAATTTTCACAAATGCATGACAGGGAGATTGAACTCGAGCTGTGCATGATTTGATGTTGTGTTGAACAACCCCATCTAAAAGCTTTAATGTGTTAGAGAGGAAAGACATCTATGTATTCAAATTTAGTCTTTCAATGGTATCATAATTCAGTAGAAACCAACTTACGATGACTTGTGTTTAGAAATTACCAGACGAAATTAGAAAGGCTTCGACTTACAAACTCTAGACCTTCTGGAATCGCTCATGAACTTGCAAGGCTTCTAAAATGCTATTAACCCACCTGCAGAAAAAGGACAAACCCAAAGATACTTAGAACATGTATGGTATGCACTGCTGGACATAACTGGATAACAATTGTTCACATTTTAACTACTTTTTCTGCTTTAATACTATACTGTTGTGGAATCCAATTTTCCAAGCCATTTAGCTTTCACATTTATGTACTGATGCATTTACATTTAAATAAAATCAATCTCCCTCTCTAGTTAACTTATGCTATGGACTAGTATTTCTTCTAACTTATCACTTAAATAGTGAACTCCCTGACCATGCCGAACACATCTCAGAAAGTAACAGCTGGTGCTATTACCACTCGTAATGCACAGAGATACAAACAATTACATCAGAAACAATTTCAAGGATATGTACGATTTCCCAAAAGTTTCAAGGAGAGTTGATTACCCTTCAAGGCCAGGATTTGTTGGGAAATACACATTCTGCAAGCCCAAGTTTTTAGCTGCTAAGGCAGTTGTCTCACCAATACATGCAACAGAATTGCTCCACTTTTGAGATTTTGGGATAAGACTTACCCAAGCACTGTACAGGAAGATATGCAAGCAACTGGTAAATGGTAAGGAATAAAAAGGACAAGGCAAGGTAAACAAAATTCATAGAACTGTAATAAAGAAAATTGTTCTAGAGAAATGCTTTCAATGGTAGCAAGTCCCAAAGTTGTAAACCATAATGAACATATCCACTACTAAGCACAAGATCCTGCAAGTGAATTAGCAAGAAAAAATAGTAAAAATTGTTAGAAGTGGTGGGCTCACAAAAACAGTTGCAGCACTGCTCAAAAGAGGGGGGGAAAAATAAATAAAAAGAAGGTTGAGTGAACGCATATTTCACATCTTCTAATTGCTTATGTTGCAAAAACCATGAACCTCCTGATTTAGCAGTAGTAAGAGCACTCTAGATCCAATGCATTTAATATGTGAACACAAATACCTAAGTGAATTTTGGGGTAAAATGCATCCAAAATAAAAAAATAAAAATAAATAAAAATTGAATAACAAGAAACCTTCAAGAATTCCAAGTCAGAATTCAACTCAGAAAATTTGTATTCATCTTCTTTGATCTAGATTCATCTTCACTAGTCCAGGATCAAAAGTTCAGACTAATATTCAACAAAAATAACATGAAACTACAACAGAAAGTATACCGAATTGCTGAAGGTGATGCTACAGAAACAACCGGAGCAGAAAGTGCCCTTTCAAGAACCCCTTGGTCCACAAGATCAACTGGTGACTACAGGAAATCGATGTAATCAAAGGCCACCACATTAGATCAATAATATAAAATAAACAGATATAAATTCTTGTAAGAACAAAGCTAATGTTGTGTCCGGACCTTATGAAAGAGGTGGAAAACACATTACAGTTGTGGGAAACGGGGGTTTAAAACCCTGAAGATTATACTTTCAAGAACTTAATTATAATAAGGTTTATGACAAAACATACAAACATGGGTGTGTAATCCTCCACCAAAAAAAAAAAGGGGCTACCAAGCTGAGCATTTGTTATTGATCATTATTTAGTGACATCTAAACACTTTTAATTGATTCCTGTACTTGTATTGTTAAATGTTCTAGGGTTGCTGCATATATGCAGGCAGAGTGAAATTTAAAGATATCAATTGTGATGAGATATGAAAACATTGTCAAAATCACAGGAGTATAATACCGTTGTGTATGTATTAAGCCTAGTAACATCAAATCCACGCTTAACAAGGCCTTCCTCTGAAATAGACAATTTCAAATACCAACAATCAGTTTCACATTTCACTTTTCTGACAAAAATTACAGAAAACATGCAACAAGAGAATTCATTAGATGAGTGAACCTGAGTGATATACATGAATAGACCTGTTAGCACGAGAGGAAACAGTAATGCAAAGCACAAACTACATGTTTCATCATCTGAAATATCCAACAGGCTTCTCTCGCTTATCATTGTAATCCATCTGGCTTTAGTATCCTAAAATAAATTATTACCCCCTTCATCCCATTATTTTCGTGCTATTTTGTTATTAAATATTTAATCTAGCAAAAAGTAAATTTTGAAATGCTATACAACTGTATTTTCTATATTTGATAGATCGATATTTCATTAAAATGGGCAATATAACTAAATTGCATAAGTTGGTTGATTTTACAGTAGATAGTAAATTTTCATTGCTCATAATTGAAATATAATAATTGAATTAGAGGATAGCATAATATTATGATTTTATACATCTTCACAGCTAAAAGCAGTATTAAAATAAAGAAAAATAAGAAGAAATAAACAAAATTCTATAAAGCATCTTTTCAGGAAAATGTGAGAGTGGAAAAGCAGAAGCAGCAGCAACATTTGATTATGACCTTTACGAGTTCATGGATCAGAGACTACATTTGCATGGACTATGAAAGCAATTCTTCACCAACCCAATCCTCACCGTGATAAGACTGTTGGTGCTCTATCCGTAGAACATTTCACCCATGTTAGAGATATCCCAACTTAACAAACCCACTTTCACAAATTGATATCTTGCCATAATCTTTGACGTCTTTTTCTTTTTGGGTTTTCTTAATTACTGCTGCCCGTAGAACTGATAGTCATCAGTTTATGCTTCATGAAAGAATCTAATATGGATTTTTTTCCCAGTATGTCTCGACCAACCACATTCTTACTATTTTCAAGCAAGTCGACATCAAATTATAAAATATCAATATAAGCTAGATATTATTCTCAGGACTATACTCAGGATGACACAACTTTTAAGTGGAGATTTGATTTGTTTATTTTTTGTCATGACATTTCTGGCCTAAAGGGAACTTCCTTCTCATTGAGATATTGTGCTTTAGTGCGTTAGGACGAAGATGTAAATGAAAAAACAAAAAATGTTAAAAACCAGGCATATAGTACATACCAATCTCACCACTAGCTTTTGATGAAGCAGGATATAAGACACTGCACCTTCTATTCTCTAGCTTTGGAAGCTCTGAAGCCAGAACCTTACCAGTTGCTGAAAGATAAAATGAAATTTTTATTCCAGCGTTCAATTGTGTGACCTTTGAGGCGCAACTGAGGCACACAACAAAGATGTGACAATATGAAAATGCTCAGAGACATGATGAAAGCATATGCACATGTACAAAGTTCAGACCTTTAATAGTGCTTTATCGGGCTAAAATAACATTAAAACTAGCACATGAACCTTTAGATGGTGCAAAGGCAACATCGAGATATTGCTTTGAGGACCGCAAAACCTCCGTAAATACGCTTGCTGTACCAGCTCCCACCACTCCAACCTTAACTTTCGGAGATCCAGCAGCTCTATGGATCAAAAGTTAGCAAAAGTGGGTAGGCGAAACTGGGGAGTGACGTCAAAATAATTGATAAGAAATAAGTTATGATAAAATTTGTTCTTCTAAGAACTTAAGTGTATATTTAGTATAACAGAAATATTTCACAAAACTTATCTCTGATTAGACTTGCATTATTTTCCATTAGTTGCATTTGGATAATTGTTTGTCATACTTCTCACTCTCATATTTCCAAAAACATAATGGATGATTTTTAAAATGCCGAAAAATATGCCAAAGGAATATCTCCACAGGAATAATTCAAAATTAAAACATGCAGCACAAGAGAAAGCTTACTTCCAAGCATCAAGAAAAACCAGACCAGCTTCAGGTGAAGTTATGACAATCCAGTCAAATGCAGTGTCTGCAGCAATGGATAAACAGTAAGCAAGAAAAAATAATAATGCATGTCCGCTATTCGAATTTAAATACAAGTAACTGCCATAAAACACAAGCATGTTAATGGTGGATAGAGAGATTTTAACTTTTGAAGTAGCAGAGCCAGGAACTAAGTTCAGTGGTGGCAGAAATTAACTACAGAAATTTTTTTTTTAAACAAAGCAAACAGTTTTCAAAATAATGATTATAAACAAAAAAATTACCAAGTTTTAGTGGGGGCCACTGCCCCCACCCCCTCCGCTAATATTTGCATAAAGAAATTTACTCCATCTGAACTTTCAATCCTGTGATTGGATAACCTTGGTAGCTTGTGCGTCCAAAAGCCCAAAAAAGGAAGCCCAAAAAAGGAGTTCTCTCCTCAAATTTAACTGACATGGGTGCAAAATATTGACTATTTAAGGTCAACATGGAATCAAGTTTGGCAAGATCGACATTGGCATATTACGCACACCCGTATGAACTATTTTTAAACATGCAACATTAAAATAATAATAATAATAATGATGATGATGATGATGATGATGATGATGATGGTTCGAAGCACAATGGGGATCGCAGACTAACAGAATGAGGCAAAAGCTCAAATAAAAACCCTTAAGAAAATTAAATAAATAAAAATAAAACCAGTTGTCTCTGAAATGAACAGAATTTGCACAATCGCATCAAGATAATCTGAAACGATCTTATTATAACCATCAGAAACTTACCACTCAATACAGAAGGAAGTCTATCATAATCAGGCAACTGCTTGTGCTGAATGAGAGGAAGCTCCAGACAGTCAATTCCATGTTTTGCCTGTATTAAAGAAGACTAAGTTGTCACACAAGGTTATGTTTTACAATGCAATGATACTACGCAATCATGGGAGGTAATACACATCAAGAAGTAGCTTGTCTGTCAGTATCAGTTGTCGTTTGTATTAGCCTCTCGAGAGTAAAAGTAGTATCATCATAGGATTAACCATCTGAATAGAACATGAATCATTATAAAAAATCAGAAGACGTGTGAAGCCACTAAAGCCCAAGACATGATCTTTGTTGCTCAAATCACCGTAAAATATCAAACATGTGTTAAAAAAGAATGGGCAAATTACTTTTCAAATCAATTTCTTTGAAGATTGCAGGTTAAAAGTTTGATGAGTCGCAACGTGTTAAACTCATACACCTTAAATGATATTGTCTAGCATTCCCTGGGGACTATGACAAAAGGCCGGCCAGCTTCACCATTTATTTGGCTCTTTCTGCAGAAAAAAATTCAAATACTATGCATAACATGCACAACTCCACTTATAAGCCCCTAGCCAATCACTTCATACGCAATGTGTCCTATCCTCTTGCTAACATTATTCTTGGTGCGACAGACTGCCCAATGACCATCAAAAACCAATCTATAATTTCCAAAGCACAGATAGTATCTTTTTTTTTTTTTTGAAAGGCACAGAATACAGATAGTATCTTTAAAATCCACTATGAAAGCATTGCCAAGCCTCGGGCCTCGTACAGTTGTCTAGAAGTGAAGCAAATGAACTAACAAATATCTGTGTATTTATAGGCTACTGTACTTCATGTCTCAGTATAGATGCTAGAATAAACATGCTGCTGGCCCCATTTCTAAGGCTATAACCAATGGATGGCTATCATAGAACACTTTACAAACATCCAGCACTTGTTCTACCCCCAATACCAGCAGGGAAACCATCATTTCACTTCTACCTGAATGCATGACCAGCATAATTAGGCAATCAGCTTCACTATTTTCTAGTGCTCTTCTATTTACCTTAATCAATATCTGTAGTAGTGACATATTATGATCACATGCAGACTTATAAGTAATTGCCCAATTCATCATTTCTTATTCTGCACCGGTGATTTTTGTCCTAAATAATGCCATCTTCAGTTTACTTCCAGCCTGATTCTTGGGAACTTTGACAGACTCACAAATGACTAGTATGTGATCATAATAGTTAAGGATACGAGCAGGTCAATCCTCACGCATGAAACTCCAGCTACTATAGTATCTAGGATGGGTTAAGAGTCAAGCAAATTTATTAAAAGGGAGATGATCTAAGAATCAACGTTTGGAAATTTATTTCATTGTCTTGAACCAGCTGATCCTGGCAGAAACTGAGTGAACTTGCAATCTGGAGAAGGCTTATTCATTTCATTCTTCTATCCATCCAAATAATTTTTTTCAAAAAACCAATTCATTTTTGAAATGCAAAAAATTAGGCCCTATATGAATGTAAAAATTAGGCACCGTATAGAGTTCGGATACAACTATGAGAAAGCTTAGGAAAGATATTCGGAAGGAAAGCATCGAGTTAATATTGCCATGACATGAGTGAAAATACAGAAAACCTTATCCGCATTTATGATGAGAACAAATATAAACACTCATTTTCATGTTCTTATCTTCTTCTTCTCTTTTTCCTTTATCTGTATCATATAAAACACCCAAACCCATAAGCAGACTCCACAAATCAATTTATTGCATTTACTGCCCTCTGAAATAGCACCGGCGGTCGTAGCGACAGAAGAGACTTAATTTCTACTTTTAAATCAGAAGGACAATTTTTCCCTCTCACTTCTTTGTTCCTTTCCAGAAAATTTCCTCATATATCTAATTGGATATGTACTATACTTTGATACATACTCATCTAAACAAAATGTATAAATTTACATTAATTAGTCTATCTAATTCCTTTATCATAAATGATTTCCATATTTATCATCACTCATTAGTCTTCACTCTAGCTATCATACAACTCGCTCTTCTACTGTCCTTTTTCCATTTTTTACTAGATTCATTTCAACATTTGATCAAACACTTAATGCCGCGTTCCCATTACACATAAATAAACTACTGACAAAAACTCATATGCAAGGCATTACCACAAGATTCGCATCAATAACACAAGGGGAAAAGAAATACACTTTCCCACACCAAAACCAAGCATTACCTGCCACATGAGCTTATGACTTTCAATAAAAATTGAAACTTTCAAAACCAAAACGAACGGGT